CCTACCACCATTGTCAAAGTCAATGCTAACCAATCCATTAGGATGGCCACAAATGCTCTCCTGACTTGAAATCTCAGTGATGTGGGCTGACTTCTACCAGCTCCTTCACCTACTCTGAGATGATAACAACAATAGTTATATAACATCTGTGTTACTGTGCTAAGCACTTTGCAAATATTGTCTCATTTTATCCTTACAACATCCCTGGGAAGTAAGTGCTACTATTATCTTCATTTATGAATGAGGAAACTGAAGCAAACAGAGGTTAAGTGACTCAGCCATGATAACACAGTTTATAAATATCTGAAACCATATTTGAACTCAGGTCTTTCTGACTCTCTGGAGCTCTATCCACTGTGCTACCTGCCTGCCCCTCTGAATTCTAACTGTTGTCAGGGACATCCAAAGGGCTGAAGTCCACTTCAGAAGTCCGTGATCTGGAGATGCTCCCTATTCACACTCAGCACTAATTAATACTTTCCATTCACATATTCTCACTTGTACCTGTTTGTAACATCCCTTCATACTCATTTTCTACTACTCAAGGTACTGGTTCCCCATACCTGTGCTATTCACACTTCACCATTTGATAAACCTCAAGGAGGTACGCTGATGCCTTGATGTCCTTATCTTCCTCCACAGTGATAATAACTAGACCTTGACAATGGACAGTTCTGAACCCTACTTTAACTCAACTACCAGAAACTAATTCCTTGACATTTCTCTCCTCCAATTCCTGTGTGGGATCAGCCTCTAGAACTCATCAATATAGATTTCTTCAACAATAGTTGTTAACATAAAGACTTCCGATATACTTCCTGCCAGGATGGGAAGAAGGATAGGCATGAAACTGCTGGTATAGGAAGTGATTTGAGGAGTGAATGGTAGGGTTGGAAGAAGAGAAGAAGAAGAAGAAGAAGAAGAAGAAGAAGAAGAAGAAGAAGAAGAAGAAGAAGAAGAAGAAGAAGAAGAAGAAGAAGCATTAGCCAAGTTCACTTTTAAATTCAGCGTAACCAACAGATAAAATCCCTCTCTTGTTGGGTTCTTGTAGGACCCAAGTCTTCCCTGAAGAACAGTCCATTGCAGTCAATTTAGGGACTGTGCTGATAGACTGTCTTGGTTGCCCACAGACTCTGGCATGGACTCTCACTCTTCAACTTCTGGTGGCTCTACAGACCATGAAAGCCCATAAGCCTAGTCCAACCATCTTCAATACTCTGCTTAAGAAAGAAAAGAATAAACACAACAGGGACAAAAGCAACAGCAGGACCATACATTCATAAGCAGCTAGGTAGTGCAGTGGCTAGAGTGCTGGACTTAGAGTCAAGAAGACCTGAGAACCTGGCATCAAACAATTACTAGCAGTGTGACCCTGAGCAAGTCACTTAGCCTCTGTCTGCCTCAGTTTACTCATCTATAAAATGGGGATAACAATAGCACCTACCTCCCAAGATTATTGTGAAGATCAAATAGATAATAATTATGAAGCATTTAGCATAGTACTTGGCACATAGTAAGTGCTATATAAATGTTAGCTATTATTATTAATATTATTATATTACATAATTATATTGTTAATATTAATATTATTAGACACATAGCCTGAATGAAGAGAGTACTCTCTCTCTCTCTCTCTCTCTCTCTCTCTCTCTCTCTCTCTCTCTCTCTCTCTCTCTCTCTCTCTCTCTCTCTCTCTCTCTCTCTCTCTCTCTCTCTCTCTCTCTCTCTCTCTTTCTCTTTCTCTCCTCTCTCTCTCCTTCTACCCAGAGGCTTGCTTATATGAGCCTTACCTCCTCATTCAAATGCAGCCAGGTAGGAAATAGAGACAGAGCTTTGGCTGCTTTGTGCCCTTTGAATACATACCTGGCTCAGTAGCCCATATAGAGCGCTTTTCTTTACAACCATGTGAGCAGATAGGTCTTCTGATACACATCATTACATACTTCCCAGAAGTAGGCTCACTAAGTCTCCCCGCACTGAGGGTGGGGCTCCCAATGCCCAGTCTCCCATCACAATAACAGCAACATTGTGCTTTAAATGTCACAAAGTACCTTGTGGTACAAGTATTAGCGTTCCCATTTTACAGATGCATAATCATTTCAGAGAAATAAAATGCCCTGCTCACAGTCACCAGCTAGTAGGCATGAGAACCAGGATTCAAATGCCCATCTCCTGGCTCCAAGTTTAGCATCTTTTGAACCACTATATGTTGTCTTTCTACTCATCCTTTCTGGGACAAAGGGAGAGAGCTGAGACCTTAGGCGGGGTCTGGCAGCTGGCCACCTCTGGGAAAACAACTCTGAAGCAACTCCTTGTCTTTTGATTATTCATGGGGTTCTATCCATTTGAGAGCTTCTGAGTATCTTTTAAAATGCCTGTCAGAATCTACAGATAATGGAGCATTCCAGCAGGGGATACTTGTTTTGATGGTGAGTTGGGTCCTAATAATGTGACATTCATTTATGAAGATGCTTCCAGGGTCAGAGTTCATATGTGTCACATCCTTTTCTCCCAAATAGGACAGAATGAAGCCTACAGCTTTGAAAGGACAAGACTCAGAAAGAAAACCAGATATTTATGCAGCATGGAGCAAATACCACCACCGTGGAGCAAGTTATGTGAAACACACTCTCAGGTAAAGGGAAGGGGCAGGGCATAACATAATAAAGGTTAATAACCCACCTGCTCTCTGGTAGCTTTCTCTTTTAGCCAAATCATTTCATTAACTGGATGCTAAAAATCTATAATTTCTGCTACCGAGGGCTATCCTTGCAAGGCCTTCTACATTTGGCCCCCTGAGACGATGCACCAGTAGACTGCTCATGTTACAGTTCTGAAAGGACCCCACTGGTGAGTCGGCCTGGCTTCGATTTCCCTGACCAAGTTAGCACCCGCAGCCCTACCTCTCTGCTCCACCCTGCTCCTGACTCTGAGTGCCTGGCCCCATGTGGAGAGTGGGGACTACAGTGGCTTCCCCTTCATCCTTTCTTGAATAGGACTTGAGTTCATCATGGAACTAGGTAGGGAGCTTGGGGCAGGAGGAGGGGGAAACAAGAGAGGAGTTTTGTCAGAGACTATTTTCTAATCATAGCTGATGGGAAAGAGAAAATGTAAGCAGGGCAAGGAACCCTCTAAAACAGCTTTCAGACCCCGGAGGGGAAGTCAGGGGCTCAGGCCAGACAGAACAAGGATGAAAAATGCCTTTTGGGTCCCAGGAAACTACTGGCTGTCATGAGGCCCATGGCTCCACGCAAGGATGGACTGGCCACTCTCCAAGAAAGAATACCCGGGGAAAGCTTTCAGGCTGAAATCAACGCTAAGTGCACTGGCTCCCCCCTGAACTGGAGATGCAAGTTCCCAGGGAAATTGGTCTATTTTAAAAGGAACAAAAAAAGGAAGAAAGAAAAAACCAATGACAACAGACAAAATCTCATAGGAAAGAAGAGGCTGAAGAAACATGGCTCCCAGTCAGGAGATAGAAACATCCTTCTATGTACCTTTGTCTGCACGAGTGGCCCCCCATGTCTAGAATGAACACCTACCTCACTTCTCAGAATCCCTAGCTTTTTGGAAGAGTGCCACTTGATGCCACCCCTTACCTGAGGCCTCTCCTAACCCCTATCACCCCCCTCAGTTTTTAGGTTTTTTGCCTTCTTGAAATTATTTTGTTTTACTTTATAATTTATTTGTATTTGCCCATGCATTTTAACATATATATGCAGATGTTACATCCCTGCAGTAGAATGTAAGCTCCTTGAGGTTTGTTTGTTTGTTTGTTTGTTTTATCCCACCAGTGTCCTGCAGACAGAAGGCATTTAAAAAGTGCAACTTGAATTGACTAGAATTGAGGTAGACACACACACTTAGCATCCCCAGTCCAGATAAACTCCTTTGAATTCATACACCGCAGTAAAGGTTTTGGCAACTCAGGACTGTTAGAGTCCATAGACACTATCTAAGCCAAGGTTCCCTAACCTTTTTGTCAGTCATGGACCCCCTTGGAAATCTAATGAAGTCCATCAACCGACCCCCTTTAAAATAATGTTTTTAAATACATAAAATACAGGATTACAAAGGAAATCAATTGTACTAGAATATAGTTTTCAAAATATTTTTAAAAACAAGTTCATGGACCCAAGATTAAGAACTTATGACTCGGTTAACCCCATCATTTGACAGAGAAGGAAACTGAGGCACAATAAAAGGAAATGGCTTATTTGAATTCATACAATGTCTGGCTATTGTGATGCATGTCCAGAGGCTGAGGCTGGCTGATCTCTTGAGCTCTAGAGTTCTGACCTACAGTCAGCAGAGCCACTGGGCTATCCACATTGTCTGGCATCAATATGGTAAGCCCTGGGGGAGTAGAAGGGTGGGCACTAGGCAGCTAAGGAGGAGCCTCCTACATTTTTTTTCTTGCCTACTCCCTTCATTCCAGCAGCCCAATTCCCTCATCAATATAAAGTCCCCAAGGCCAGGGACATTTTTTTTTCCAATTTGCCCTACTCAGGTATGGTTCTTGCTATTCCTGTTCCCTAGGGTGGTAGCTTTAGGCCACCCTGAAGATAAATAAACTGGAAAGGTCCAAAAGTTATTTTATTCACATGGAATAGAGGTGGAGGGAAAATTCAAAACAGTAAATTCACAAGACAAAATGGAGAACACACGGTTGGGCAACAGTCCATTTGACAAAGATCTGGGAATTTGGAGAAACTTAGGAAGACTTATATGAACTGATACCACACAAAATAAACAGAACCAGAATACTTTTCATAATGACCACAATAGAATAAAGGAAAAGAATGCTGAAAGACTTCAGACTCCTAATGAATGCAGCTACCAATTATGACTACAGAAGACTGATAACTATACATGCCTCCCATCTCTAAGGAGAGAAGGGAGGGATCAGAGGTACAGAATGAGAAATCTGTTTTTATACATGTACAATTCCATTTTTCATTGACCACATTTATTCACTACAAGAGAGTGTTTCAGTTTGAGAGAAGGTTGGGGAGGGAAGTTGTAGGGAGAGATAGTAACATTTAAAAAGAAAGAATAGCATCAATAAAGCATTCAATCAATTTAAACACGGAAGCTCAAGGAGGCCTAAGAGTGTAGCATCAGTCACAAAAGCCAATGGGATCTTCGGTTCATGTCCAGGACTAAGGAGGTAATATTCCCACTGGACTCTGGTGAGGTCAAACCATGCTGGATTGTGAGGTTCAGTTCTGGGTACCGTGTGTTACGGAAGGTCTTTAATAAGCTAGGAAGCATCCAGTGGCGGGGGCTATAAGGATGGTGACATGCCTTGGGATGGACTAGTTGAAGTAAATATGGATGCTTAGCCTGGAGAAGAGATTTAGGATGAACATAATTAGCTGTCTTAAAGTATTGTAGCTAGAGCTTATAGGAGAGGAAAGGGAGAATTGTTCTGGCTGCTTATGGATGATGGTACAAGTTCTAATATTGAGTCTTTTTTATCATGTTAAATAAAGCCTGATCCACACTTGACATATGTATACTTTTAGCCTGACTATTTGCATGGGAGCCAAAGCCTTTTTTTTTCCTTTTGTTGTGGAGACACAGACATGAGCCAAAATCTGACATTCCCAGGGGAAACCCTGACGGTGGATCATAAACCAAAGAGAGATGTGTGAGAAGACACTAAGATTGAACCCAATCCATGTAAACTCAGATCCTTTGATTCTGAGTAATGGGTTATACCAGTTACCTTGCCAATGGTGAAGTTCTAGATGCCTCCGATAAGAGCCTAGCCTTTGTCTGAGACAAAGTAGAGGTTTTTATTTTGGTCAGGACCCTATCTATGAACAATGGAGTCTCTTAGCCCAGAGCTAGAAAAAACAGGAGCTAAGTTAGACCATTATTTGCATTCTGGGGTCCAGGAAGCTACACACACAACTAAGGGAAATCTTTCCCTTCTAAGTCTAGCAGTACAGGCAGAAGCCAAGGGAGTTTATCAGTAGGTTAGAAAATTGGGGGAGAATTCTTCCAATAGAAACCCTTCTAGTGGAACCTAGTACTCTCACACTGGCCCCTAACTTCCCCCAGTTACTGCCTCCCACCAAGTTTAAAGCCACCAGTCTCGAGCTCTTAGCCCCCTCTCCTCAAACACAATGGATCCTCAGGGCCAATCCTAAGTCTTAGAGGAAGTCAACAATAAGTTCAATTAGATCCATCTAAAAAATTAATTTCTTAGAATCAGCTATTAATCTGTTACCCTCCCAGGGAATGTAATATCCTAACTCAGTTGAAATGCCTAGTTTTCTTTCTGAAGTCACTTTCAAAACGAGGCTGATGCTGCGAATTCAGGTGCCAAGACTGGACAGCAAGATTTTCCCACTAGAAGATGGGAATTGGTGTTGTGGTTGTTCAGTTGTTTTAATCGTGTCCAGCTCTTTGTGACCCCACTTGGGATTTTCTTGGCAGAGATATTGAAGTGGTTTGCCATTTCCTTCTCCAGCTCATTTTACAGATTTGAGAAAACTGAGGCAAATATGGTTAAGTGACTTGAAAAGGGTCACTTAGTAAATGTCTAAGGCCAGATTTGAACTCAGGTCTTCCTGAGCCAGTACTCTATCTATTGGCCACTTAGCTACCCCAGGGGAGTTTTTAGCAAATTCTAAATACAATAGACAGTCACCCACTCTGCTGATATGTACAGATCCCTAATTTGTCCCCCTTTTATTCTGGAATTATGAACCTCTCTCAGAATTGTCATGGTAACCAAATGGTTACCATACCATTGGCTTCAGAGTTTAGGAGAGGCAAGTAGGTGTGAAAAAGAATCTGATTAAATAGACAATAGTAATAATGCCTCCTTGGAGGAGACACTGACCCTCATTATTGTCCTTAACATAATATATTGATTCTTTGCCTTGTGCCCCCAGCCCTTAATACGGTGCCAGCCTCTTTGACAAGGGCAAACCTGCCTGTCTCTGGTACTCTTCTTACCTCTTTAACACCACGTCATCCCTAGTCATGCCTGAATTGTGCCCTCGGACTTGGTATTTAAAATTAAAACAACAGCTAGCATTTATATTGCTTTGAAATTTGCAAAGAGCTCTGTCTATTTTATTGCATTAGATTGTTACCACAACCCTTTGACATAGGTGTGTCATTATTACCCTCATTTTGTAAATGAGGAAGCAGAGGCTCAAAAAAGTTAAATGACTTGCCCTGGGTGACACAGCTAGAGTCATACTAGCTGGATTTGAACTCAGGTCTTCTTGACTTACAGTGCTTTTATTACTATGCCACCTGGCTACTAAATAGATAGGGAGAGAAAAAGAAAGAACTCAAACTAATATAGTTAGAAAAGGCTGGTCAGACACACAAACAAACTGAAAGTAATTAATTATCATCCCTTGGAAAGAAACCAGCTCAGCTCAGTGGTCCTGAGGCCACCCCAAGGAAGCAAGAGGGAGCCATGTACTCCCAAGAGAGGAGGGAAAATACATGGGGTAGACCAAGGTGGTGATGGAACAGAGAGAAGTTTCTGGGCCAAGCTGAGAATTGAAAGGATAGTGTCAGCCAGTGGCAGCGTCAAAGTCACAGGGTGACAGGGAGTTTCCTGGACAAGTAGAGGAATTCTTATGTCAAAGCCCCTAGACCCAAGGAGGAGTTCAGGAGGAGGTTACTAACAAGGGAAGAAGACCCTAGAGACACATAGGAGGGCCTTATCAGGTCCCACCTTGGCATGGCCTCTATGCTAGACCAAGAAGACTGGTGGTGATTTCCAGTGGGAATTAGCTAGCTGGAAGAGCAAGGAGAGACAAGAGGTACATGTGCCTAGTAAAGTCAAACCACCACCATCTCCCCTGAGACCCTGATGGGGACAGCCCAAGACCCTGAACCCAAGAGTCTTAACAGCAATGCTTCCAGCCCAGTGCCCTCAGCCATCATCCTAGGCAGTAGCCCCTGTGAGAAGCAGCCTGGCGAGTACCCACTGCTTCTATGTGTAACCACAGCTACTCAAGACCCCGAAAAGAAAGTTCTCACCATCAAAGTCCTTGGCATCATCAAATGGTTCAACACCAGAAACTGGTATCGTTTTATCAGTGCAAATGAGATCAAAGCAGAGGCATTTCCACCTGCTTTGTTGCTATAACCTTAGGACCATGGGACCTGTCCGTCTGACCTGCCCCTGAAACTTCCAGTGTGTGTTGTCTGCCCCATTCCAATATGAGTTCCTTGAGAGTAGGGCCTGTCTCCCCGTTCTATTTGTATCCCTGGCACTTTGCACAAAGCAAGTGCTTAATAAGGGCAGCTAGGTGGCACAATGGATAGAGTGGGAGGCCTGAAGTCAGGAAGACTGCTCTTCCTGAGTTTAGATGCAGCTTCAGACACTCACTAGCTGTGTGACCCTGGGCAAGTCACTTAACCCTGCTTACCTCCATTGCCTCACGTGTAAAATGAGTTGGAGAAGGAAATGGCGAGCCACTCCAGTATCTCTGCCAAGAAAACCCCAAATGAGTTCACAAAGAGCTAGACCACAACTGAACTGTCTGAGCGACAACAAAATACTTAATAAATACTTCATTCATTCATTCAAGCTCACAGCTGTTTATTGGAAGAACACAGAAGCGATGGTATTTTCCACTGATAACAGCTGGGCCCTGGATCTTTTAGCCTTTATGAGTTTGTAACAAACCGATTTAAAGATCGGTTCTAAAGTAAAATCCAGAAAGACAAAAACATAGTTCCTAAAACAGAGACTGTATTGGGTAGTGGCTAGACAGGAGGCATGTGATTCAGGAATACTTGGCATCGGGTCCTGCTTCTGACACATCCTGGTTGTGTAACCCTGGGCAAGTCCCTTAACCTCCCATCTCTCTTGAGACTAGAAGTTGCAGAATAACTGTTGATCCCTGTTTTGGTAGAGGGAGTATCCTAATGGGATTATACCTCCGGAGCTAACCACATTGCCTAGGACATGTTGTTCAGTCATCTTTCAGTCATGTCCAACTCTTAATGACCCCCTTCCGAAGTTTTCTTGGCAGAGAAACTGGAGTGGTTTGCCATTTCCTTCTCCAGCTCCCTTTACAGATGAGGAAACTGAGGCAAACAGGGTTGAGTGACTTGCTTGAGGTCACATAGCTAATAACTGTCTGAGGCCAGATTTGAACTGAGGAAGTTGAGTCTACCTGCCTCCAGGCCTGGAGGATGGAGGTGGGTGTCTAGGTGTCTATCTACTGTGCCACTAAGCTATCACCTAGGACATAATAGGCGCTTAATAAATGCTTCTTGACTGACCCGCTAGAGCTAGAAAGGACATTAGAGGCCATCTATTCCAACCCTCTATTTTTACTCATTATCTTTAATACAGAAGCCCAGAGAGGACCTCTGGGGAGTTCCATACAATGAAATTAAAAATTTGTACTAAAATAATAATCATAAAATAAAATTTTCCTTACTCACCTGTAAAGAAGAAATCTCTTAAGTTCTCCATGGTATGCTTCTGGATTCTTTGGTTGGTCTTACGAAATGCATCATTATTTATCTTTTCCCCTAGAATCTCATGAATCCTTCACTGGTAATTGCTTTAGCCCCTTCACACTGAGTAGAGGATTACCCAGCATGAGATCTGTTGCCATCAAGAACACACAGAAATTATCAGAACTAAGGAAATAAATGAGGAGAAAACACTCCCAACTTGCTTGCCATGGACCAAAGCTGGGCCTTTCAGACCCACAAGGAGAGACCCTAGAATATTCCCATGTCATTACTGCATCCCTTCTTAATGAACACATGCACAAAGCTCCCACAGCCCAGGCTTGGTTCGAATCCATACCATCCCAGGATCGACTCATCTACAGTAAAGACCCCAGGAATATGACTAGATAGCAAGTTGGAATCCTAGGGAAATCCCCTAGGGGGTGGGAGATGCTCTTGGGTTATAGCAACTTCATAGGTGAAGGAAGGGTTGCCTTTCAGAAGCCCTTTAAGGAATCTGCTTTAGTGAATAAAAAAGATGGTTTCTCATTAGAATGTCAATTATTTTCATTATTAAAAGGCATTTGTATTATACCAAGAAAGTTTGCTTCTTAACCTTACAAGTTCCCCAAGACCTAGCTTCTCTTAATATAATTACCAGACTGTTTTTTGGTTTTTTTAATGAGATTTTTTTCAGACATAACAGAAGTAAAGTAGTCAAGTGTACTGAACCTGGGGTCAGGAGACCTAGGTTAGTCTACTGGCTCCCCTACCTGCCAGTATACTCTGTGACCTTGGGCAGGTCACCTCTGTGGGCTTCCATTTCCTTATCTGTAAAATGCAGGTGATAATTCTTGCAGTACCTACCTCCCCAGAGCTGTGTCTGGGAAAGTGCTTTGTAAAGCCTGAATTTCTATGAAATGGAAGCTAAAAAGAAAGAAAACCCACACACGCACGCACACACACACACATATGATCACACAAATACCAACTTTGGGTAAACACAATTTGAATTGTCCCAGGCCAGTTTAGGGATTTCTGATGGTATTCATGATGTCATAGTTACCCACAGGTCACAGGGACTCCTGGTCCTAAGACCTCTGGGAATCGGCAAAAATCAGGGTGCGATGGGACGGACAAATCCTCTAGGCAGAAAGAAAGGTCTAAATGACTGAGAGCCAAGATACCACCCTGGGGAACATAAATGGGTCATGAGTAAGACAGCCACACCCTGGACTCTCTCTGCCAGAACAGAGAAGGGACTGCCAGGGGACACATCTATGAGAAATATTCTCATTCAAAGAATGTCAGAGCTTTAAGGGACCCTAGAGTTCAATGGAGTCCAATCTCTTCTTTTTATAGATGGGAGAACTAAGGCCCAGAAAGGGAAAGCATCTTGACCTAGGTCATGCATTGAGTCAATGGAAGAGCCTAAGAATCATAGGCCCATAGGCTATCAGAGCTGTCAGCCAATGTAACTATCTTCAAATCCAACCCCTTCATTTTATAGGTGAAGAAAGTGAGACTCAGAGGAGGGCAAGTAGAGTCTCCAGGCCACACATGTAGTAAGAGCTAGGATCTAGTCCCAAGCCTCTTGATTTCTAGTCCATGAGTCTTATCCATAGAAACATAGATCTAGAGCTCAGGGACCCTCTCCTATCCCCCTCATTTTACAGATGAGGAAACTGAGGTCAGAGAGGTAAAATGACCTAGCCAAAGTCACACAGGAAGTAAGCAACAAAGTCAGGGTTTGAACCCAGGTCCTCAGACATCAGAGCCAGCACCCTTTCCCCTATATCTCTCTGCCTCCCCATAATTCACATCTAAGACTCGACTCGAGGCCAATGTTTTCTCCACCACACTTTGCTCAGATTCCATTTATTTCTAGGACAAATAATTCCATAATGAGAACTGTCTCTGGAGTTGGGGACAGGAGGAGAATGAGAATGGGGGGGGCATAAAAAATCCAGGCAGGGTCACCTGACAGTGAGAGCCAGAGACCACAGAGGGTGTTATGGGTCAAGCTGGGAAACTCAATGACAATACAGTGGGACTAGGTATCTGTGATTATAGAAGCAGGAAAGACAAGCCCAGAGCATGCTCAGTGCTGGCTGATGACCTATGCTTGTAGATCATGTGATTTCAAGCTGAAAAAGGTAATAGAGTTGAAGACATCTTATCTCTTCTCAGTGGAATTAGAGGACATTTAGCCCAACCAGTCATGGAGAGATGATGTGGTATAGGAAAAGACCACTGTATTTAGCATCAGAGGATCTGGGTTCAAGTCCTGACCTCTGTGACTTAGGGCAAGTCTTTTAAACTTCTTTGGACCTCAGTTTACCCATCTGCCAAAATGGTAGAGTTAACTCTGTGACTTCTGAGGTCCTTCCGGCTCTGAAGCACTGAAAGGGTCACAGGGTCTCCCTCCTGCAGGTCGGTGGTCCTACTTTAAACCTTCTTATCTCGGCTGGTCACATAAAAAGTTCCATTAAAACCAACAGTGGCTTCAATTGAGAGAGAGCCTCTTTACAAGATGAGAATTTGCCTTTGCTCACATCATTTCCTGTGCCTCAAATACCGACCCCCCTTCTTCTGGCCCTGGAATTCTCACCTATCCTTTAAAGCAATGGCATCAAAGTCAAACAGGGCCCACCAAACCATTCACAAAAATCCTTGCCTATTGACTTAAAAGACCATATATTAACATTATCTATATTGCATTATATTTTATTTATTTTGTTAAATGTTTCCCCATTACATTTTATTCTGATTTTGGTCAAACTCAGGAGTGCTGCAGGCCTCATGAGGCACACAGCCTGAGAGTCTAACACCTTTGCTTCACACTCCAACTCAAATGCCACTTCTTCCATGAAGTCTTTCTGGATTCTCCCCAGTTGGAATAGTAACACCTATTTCCAAAGCAGGGCCGCTAGGTGGTGCCATAGTGCATAGAGTGCTGGGCCTGGAGTCAGCAAGACTGCTCTTCCTGAGTTTAAATCCAGCCTCAGACAATTCACTAGCTGTGTGACCCTAAGCAAGTCACTTCACCCCGTTTGCCTCAGTTTCCTCATCTGTAAAATGAGCTGGAGAAGGAAATGGCAAACCACTCCAGGATCTTTGACGAGAAAACCCAAAATGGGGTCATGAAGAGACAGATATGACTGAACCAACTTTAACAAGGCAAGATCTCCAAAGCACCAAAGATTTATAAAGTATTTTTTGTCAAGAAGCCTTTGAGGTAGATGGTGAAATTATCATAAACCCTTCCCCCATTTTACACATGAAGAAGTGGCTAGCCATTCACTGCTAGAGACAGATCTGAATCCGGGAGTCACTCTTCCAAATCTAGCTTTCATTCCACCACCCTGCCTCTCAAGGTAACAAGAGTAGTGTGTGCAAAACACACTGGCTTTGAAATCAGAGGGTCTGAGTTCAAATCCTGCCTCTGTCACCACCTATGTGACTTTGAGTAAGTCATTTAACCTTCTCTGACCTCAGTTTCCTCATTTGTAAAAATGAAGGGGTTGGAGTAGATGCCTCTGAGGTCCCTTCCACCTCTGGGTCTAGGACCCTATTATTAAGCTTCCTCTCCTCCTACCTAACTATAAGCTCATAAGATCAAGTGCCTTGTCTTATCTTTTGCTGGATCTCCCCCACTCCCACCCCAACCCTGCCCTTCAAACGTTAGGTGCTTATTCAGGGTTTCTTCAATAGCACTCTCCTCAACTTGATCTTATTCAGTCTTCATAGCTCATAGCTCACCAATGAGATCAGAACACCCATGTGTTTAATATACCCATAGAACAAATGCACAAACTGAGACCAAGGGAAGTACAGTGACTTGCCTAAGGTCACCCAACACATAGCAAAGCCAGCATCCCAGACCTCCAGACATGCAGTTCCATGGTCTTCCAGTCCCCCACAAGGAATTAATTTTTTAAAAATGGCTGCAGATGAGGACACTCTTTTTAGTGCTTCTTCTAAGGGTCTAGACCAGCAAAAAAAAAAAAACCCAGTAAGGAGGCTGTTCAAAGTCTAGGTATTTAAACAGTCTAAAGAGTCCAATTCCCCTCCCATGGGTCACTTTCCATTCCCCAGGGAGGGAGTATTATTTTGAGCCACATAGCTCAGAACAGAGACATAACCAGAAATTCTGACTCCCGGGACAAATTCATTTGAGTCATGTAGAGGACAGTCTGAACCAGGAGAGGACAGGACCAGGTTATCCTCCATGGCATCCAGTCTGCACACCAGCCACCAGCCTTCATTTTCTGGGAAAATGCAGAAGGGATGATGCACCGTATGAGCATTAGGGAAAGGGTGCTATGGTGACTAGACCCTCCTGGAAGTACCATATTCCCAGAAGGGGTGGGGCAGCTACACTGTGCAGCACTGAGCACAAAAGAGGACCTCGGGGCCCCGGAATGACAAACCAGAGGAGTTCTGCATGGAAGCACATGAATCCCCAGATGTCAGCACCTCGGAACAAAGCCTTAATCACTCCATTCTAATTCTGCCTCTGCCCAAATCTTCGGGCTTCCACGTACTCCTAGGTTCATGGAATGCTAGGCACATACAGTTACAAGGAACAGGAGAGATCATCTAATTCTTTTCTCCAGAATCGATTCCCTACTGCCCGAGGGGCTGTTGGCATAGCCTGGGATTCTCGACAAAACGGAGAGCAACGGCAGAGGTAGGGCGAGCAGGCAGGAGAGGATTGGAAATGACAGGGGACAGTGAGAGCTCTCTGATGTGTTTCCCGATGATCTCTACAGGTCAGACAAGAGGTTCTCCTTTCAGCAGAGTGCAAGCAGATCAGAGCACCCGAGAAGAAGACCAACGATTGAGGGCATGGCACGCGCCATTAGAATGAGCCCTGGCCTTGGCTTCCTCCCCTAAAAAATGTAGGAGTTGGACTAGGTCCCAGGATCATAGGGTCTGGAGCAATTAGCCCCAACTCCCCTCATTTTACCGGTGAGAACGCTGAGGTTCGGGTGGTTGAATTGAACGCCCAAGACCTCAGAGGCAGTGTCAGAGACCGTATTCAACCAGCACCAACCCCGCTGAGCCATGCAGACGTGTTCTTCCATTCTATCCTCAGCATTTGCCCTTCTAGTTCCGGCGTCCCATGGATTAAGTTCCCTTCTAACTCCAGACACTCAACAATTCTATCACTTCTGGGGTCCCCCCTTCCCTCGTTCTCTGCCAGGCTCCAACAGTGGCTCCCCACAGCTGCCACTTTTCTTCTGAACCCAGCCCGGCTCATGGGGCAAGGCAGGCACCGTCACAGGAGCGGTCGGCAGAGCGGGTAGCGGTTTCCCAGCTGAGGGTTGGAAGCTGGATTGTTTGAAGACATATGGCATCCCAAGTGTAACAGATAGTCGGATCTCAAGGGGAAACCATTGTTCATTCATCTGGACCGAGTGACATTCTTTATGCAAGAATAGCTCTTGATTAAAGGGTGAGTTTTAATGGAAACTAATTAGGCCAGCTCTTTAGCCTGGGCATAACGATCAAATGAGCTGTCGCGCTGTACCTGATACAATGATCTCGCTCCGTACAAGATTTTATTCCTTGGCAATTACACTCCCACGTGGCCCGGCATGTGTTTATTGCCTGGAGCACACATGTCAAATTAAAAAGCAACTAATTCACCTGATATTTAATTATTGCCTCCTACTACAGACAGCCAGGGAATGTCAAAGCCAGCCATCCTGCATGGGAGATGCAGGAAACAAAATCTCCTTCTTCAGCAAAGAAGCAAAAAAAAAATTATTTAAAAAATAGAGATGAAATATGTATGGACTTCTATAGTTTCTTATTCAGCGGCCTCGCAATTCTGTTACAAAACCTACTCTCCCCAATCTTGAATAATTTACCATTCCTGCTTCCTACAGAGGGAAGATTCAGCAGAGGGAGGGCAGCCCAGACAGCCGGCTCCAATGACGAGCTGGATTTGTTTCTGTCCATGATTAATGTGCTTACTCAGCCTGGTCAGAGTGAAGTTTTCAGCCACTGTCCCTTTGCCACTAACAACCTCTGACAGGTGAGACGGGAGACTCTCATTCCATCTGAGAACAGGCAGGCCAGGGGACCACTGAGAGAAATGGTCACGCTCCCCTGAACTTGGAGGGGAAGGAAGAAGAGATCCTTCCTCAACCCACAGCTCAACTATAAAGTTTCCCGAAGTCATACTCCAACCAATAAAGACAGTGTGTCATGGTGGAAAGAGCATTGAGCTGGACTCCAGAAGGCCTGGGTTCAAGTCTCAACTCTGCCATTGAATTGCTGTGGCACCTTGAGCAATTCAAGTACGTCACCTTGCTCTCTCTCTCTTTGAGACTCAGTTTCCTCATCTGTAAAATGAGCTAATCAGGCTCAATAAGTCCTTCTAGTTCTGAGCTCCCAAGTTTCAGTATCAACAAAGTTAATCTGACCCTGAGTGGGGAGAGAGCAGGCTGTAGGCTAGAAAATCAAATGACAATTTGAGAAAGGAATCCATATTAGAAAAAAATTAAAATGTTCCCAGTTTGACCTACAGTTTCATTGATATGGGGAATGACTCCAAATGGGAATACCCTCCACTAATACTGATTAGCAACACCTCTAATGTGGAATCATGGAATCAAAGATCTAGGGCTAAAAAGCCCCCTCAGCTGAATCTCCTCATTTTTATAGATGAGAAAACAGAGTCTCTTGATTTACCCAGGGTCACTCAGGTTATGCAGCTCGCCAGGATTTGGATCCCACGACTCTGAGCTGAGCATTCTTAGCCAGAACTCCTTCCTCTGGACCTCAATGCCTCTTTATAGTCTTAAAATTGTCCATGGCAGCACTGAGCTGACAAATGACTACGCACCTAGTGTACGTGAGACACTAGATATGGATTCAGGTCTTCCGGACTCTTCGACAAGCCTTCTATCTACCAAGCTATGCTGCCTCTCTTTAGAAGGAAAATATGACAGTAGCTAATATTTATATGGTACTTTAAGGTGTGTGAAGCTGTTATTATACATGCTATCTCATTTCAGTATCTCAATAACCCTGTGATGTAGGATGTTATAAGCAGGTATTATCAGCCCCATTTTACAGATGACAGCCCCATTTTACAGATGACAAAATTGAGGCTGAAAGTGGTTAAGTGACTTGCCTATAATCAAATAGTTAATTAGTGGCAGAGGTAGGCTTTGAATTTGTGTCTTTATAGAAACAAGGATCATCCATCTCAAACTGGAAGGGGTAGTTCACTAACCACATGGCCTCTCATGTTGCTTCTATGCAGAAGGAGACAAACAGAAGGGGCCTGGTATAATTCTGCGGTTGCCCCAATTCAGACTCTTATAGCCAATTGCCCCACCTTATTTTTCCCGCCTGTGCCTCGGACAGAGCAAGGTCCAGCTGAATCCCTTGGGCCCATTGCTGTGCTGTCAAGGAGTAAGTTTCCCCTATGTCTTGGATGATTGTACTCCAACAAAAGGCATCTAATTACCCGTAATCTTAATTGCACAGTCTAATACTAAAAACCCTTAATAAGGAGCTTTTGTATTTACCAAACTACACGGCTCGTGAAAATCCCCTCCAAACATCTGGCAGGAGGCCCGGGCACAGGAAGTGTGGCTAGAACCTCTAATGACTGCAACATGTAAACAAGTCTTTGCTTTCCGCTGATAATCACTTACTTCCAGTATCGGGCTTACCCAGCAGGCGTGGACAAAGCCCAACCTCCCTGAGGCCCCTGAGCCAGGGATGCCACCAAAGTGTTAGATCACAAATGAGATGGTGAAGGGACCAGAAGGGAAGGAACCCTGGCTGCAGTTCCTAGAGTCTTCCTAAAGCCCTGGCCTTGCTGATTCCAATCCAACACCTCCAACTGTCAACCAGGAGGAGATCCTGGAGCCCAGGTGGTAGAGCAGGCAAACACCAACACCTGGACCTCCAAGTGCCTCAGTGAGGGTGGGGGAACCGGTGGAAACCAGCTCAGAAAACCACCAGGTGCCTCAGCACTCTACTGCAAAGGAATCTCCCAGTGCAGCATTGCAAGGGGCCCCAGGCAGATAAACACCCTGCAGCACAACATCTAAAAGGAGCTGAAGAAAGCTAAAGGAAAGGAAAAGCAGGCAACCTAGAATTGCCTGAAAGTTCCAGTCTTGCTGATTCCAGCCCAACATGAGGTAAGCTGCCAGAAACCTACAGCCTCCAACTGCCAACATAAGAGGCCCCAGCACACAAAGCCAGTGACCAAGACCTAGGCTCCCAACACAAGAAGCTTGGGTTAGTGCCCTCTGTTCCCCAGCAGGAGAGCTCAATCTCTTTAAAGGCCAGGGAATAAAGAAACCATGAGTAAAAAGAAATGTACCATAGATTCATATTATGAGAAGAGTAGAGATCAAGACAGAAATTCTGAAGAGGACAACATTGTCAACAAACCCACATCTGCAACATCAGAAGGGAATATGAACTGGTCTGAAGCCCAAAAAGCCTTCTTAGAAGAGCTCAAGAAGGATTTTAAAAGTCTAATGAGAGAGGTAGAAGAGTCCTTAAAAAATACAATTGGCCAATTGGAAAAAAAATACACTGAAGAAAACAAGTCCCTAAAAAACACAATTGGCAAAATGGAAAAAAGTACACTGAAGAAAACAAATCCCTTAAAAATACAATTGGCCAATTGAAGAAGGAAGTACAAAAACTAACAGAAGAAAACAATCTGTTAAAAACTAGAATTGGACAAATGGAAACTAATGACTCTATGAGAGAGCAAAAGTCAGTCAAACAGAAACAAAAAAATGAAAAAATGGATGAAAACTTAAAATACCTCATTTGTTTGATCTGGAAAATCGATCCAGGAGAGACAATTTAAAAATCATTGGACTACCTGAAAATCATGATGAAAAAAAGAGCCTGGACAGTATCTTTCAGGAAATCATAAAGGAAAACTGTCCTGCAGTCCTAGAACCAGAAAGTAAAATAATCATAGAAAGAATACACCGCTCACCACATGAAAGAGATCCCAGATTGAAAACACCAAGGAATATAATAGCAAAATTCCAAAATTACCAGATGAAAGAGAAGGTGCTGCAAGCAGCCAGAAAGCAACAATTTAAATATCATGGAACCACAGTCAGGATTACACAGGACCTTGCAGCTTCTACATTAAAAGACCACAGGCCATGAAACATAATACTGCAAAGGCAAAGGAGCTTGGATTGCAGCCAAGGATCAACTACCCTGCAAAAATGAGCATGATTTTTCAAGGGAGAAGACAGATATTCAGCGAAATAGGGTACTTCCAAACCTTCCTCAGAAAAAGACCAGAGCTCAACAAAAAATTTGATCTTCAAGTCCAAGATTCAAGAAAGACATAAAAAGGTAAATGGGACAGAAAGATACAAAACGTTGTTAATAAGGGCAGACTGTGGGGCAGCTAGGTGGCGTAGTGGATACAGCACCGGCCCTGGATTCAGGAGGACCTGAGTTCAAATCCAGCTCAGACACATAACACTTACTAGCTTGTGTGACCCTGGGCAAGTCACTTAACCCAATTGCCTAGCAAAAAAAAAAAAATAAGGGCAGAATGTTTACATCCCTACAAGGGAAGATGACACTTGCAACTCTTGAGAACTGTATCATTATTACACCATGTTAAAGGAGTATACATAAAAGGGGTGGATATTGGTTGACTTTGATGTAATGATAAAAAAAAATCTATTCAAGTGGGTTAAATGGATCCAGGTAAGTGGATTAGTCTGATCTTAGAAAATGTACTGAGGAAGGAGGAGGCAGACAAGGGTAAATTATATTACAGGAAAAGACAGAAAATCCTCTTACAGCGGAGGGAAAAACAGGGAGGGGGGTGAGCACTGTTTGAACCTTGCTCTCATCAGATTTGGCTCAAGAAGGGAATAACATAATCAGTTAGGTATGGAAATCTAACTTGCCCTATGGGCAGTAGGAGGGAAAAGGGGAAAGAAAAGAGAGGGGGGATGGAAGGGAGGGAAGAAGCAGTGGGGGTGAAGGGGAAGAGGGGGGAGGGGGAAAATAGAAGAGAGGAGAGACTGAAGGAGGCGGTGGTCAAAAGCAAAGTACTGGTGAGGAGGGGAAGGGAGAGAGGAGAAAGAAAAGCATAAACGAGGGAAAAAAGGTTGGAGAAAAAGACACAGATAGTAATCATAACTGTGAAAGTTGAATCGCTATCTTTTTCTCTTCTGTTGAGTTTTGTTTCCTCTTTCTGATGGTTCCTCCTATTGGTTTTAATTTTTACTTACAACTTCACTAATGTGAAAATATGTTTACTAGGAATATAAATGTATAGCCTATATCAGATTGTGCAACATTTTGGGGAGGGAAGTGGGGAGGAAGGGGGAGAAAGTGTTTAAACTCAAAAGCATATGGAAGTGATTGTTGATAAATCAATACAAATTAATAAAATATGCAAAAAAACCTAGAACTAAAAACCTCACCTGCTATCCAAACTGCTACTTCAGATGCCCAGGCACTTCTCATCAAGGATTGTTTCCTCTCTAACAATGCCTGCCTGGTCTCTCTGACCAGCACAAGGACCACTATAAATGCAAAAGGAGATTTCTCAAAGATGAACCCATGAAAAGGAGACAAGGTCTCCCAATGGCATCAGTGGTCATCAAAAGGAAATGCAAAGGTCAGGGTGACATCCATCACTAGCTTCACCGAGTACAAGTTCTGTTTAAAAGTTCCACTGATACCAAAATGAATCCACTGACAAAGAATTGTGGGCCATCAGCAGCAGCAGCAGTCTTGAGGAAGGCAGGGTCCAGAACTAGAAGAGATATTGGGTCAATGGGCACCAATGGATTCATGGATAGATTTCAGGGTCTCTGTGAACATAGATGGGAAAAATACATCTTTATTTCAATTTTACTAATTTCCTTTGTAATCTCATGTTTTTTATTTTACACATTTAAAAACATTATTCTGGGAAAGAGTCCATGGTCTTCACCAAACAGCAGGAGGGGTCTATGATACAAAATAAGGTTAAGAATACTTGGCTTAAGGGGCCGCTAGGTGGCACACTGGATAGATCACCAGCCCTGGAGTCAGGAGGACCTGAGTGCAAATCCGGCCTCAGACACATAACACTTATTAGCTGTGTGACCCTGGGCAAGTCACCTGACCCCATTGCCTAGCCAAAAACAAAACACAAAAAAAAGAATCCTTGGCTTAAAGACCATTTAGCCCAGGGATCTGCATTCAGGGTACACATATCCCCAGAGAGTAAAAGAATCTTATTTAGGAAGTATAGAACATTTTTGGTAAATTATTTTATTATCCCTTTTAAATTAAAGCTATGGTAATGAAGGTCCATGGTTCAAAACTCACTTTACTATAGTGCTTAAGTGGTGCAGTGGATAGAGTACCGATCCTGGAGCCAAGAACACCTGAATTCAAATCCAGCCTTGAATACTTACTAGCTCTGTAACACTGGGCTTTGACCTCTGCCTTAGCTTCCCCCTCTGTAAAATGGGGATAATACTAGCATCTGCCTTGATGGGTTGTAATCAGGACCAAACGGAATGTCTGTAATAGACATGGTACAATGCCTTGCTTATGGTGTGTGCTTAATAAGTGTTTGTTCCTTTTACTTCCCTTTCCTTCACCCGCTAGGGCCAGAGGGAAACAATGCCTGAGATTTACTTCTAGTTGACCTTTTCACAGGCCAGACCACAAATGGATGATTGCATTCAGGCCTCCATACCGTATTTGAAGAAGGTCAATCAATAGGTTGCAACATACTCAGAGAAGAGAGACCAAGACGGGGAATAGGCTAGAAACTAGGTCATATGAGGGCATGTTGAAAAAACTGGAAGTGTTTATCCTGGATGATTATTGCCCTCCCTACTCCTAAGTATTTATTTTGCATATATCCTTCATTCATCCCTATGGGATACAACGGAGGGTAAGAACTATCTCACTTTTATATTTCTTTTTGAATTTTGCATTTAACCAGGATTCGGGACAGAGTAGGTGCTTAATAAACACTTGCTGATTCATTCATTGAGATTAGAAGATGTAGGGAGGGCATAAGAGTTGTCTTCAGTATTCTAAGAGTCATCATATCAAGTGGGGGTCAGACTTGCTCTGGTTGGCCACAGAAAATAAAACCGTAAACAATGAGAATAAATTGCTAAGTGGAAGGCTTTTCATTTCCAAAGCACAGGTGTTCTTCTAGCCTAAAACGGGAGATACACCATGGAGACTGGACACAAAAAAGCACCTCTCTAGGTTTGGCCTTGAGGAAAATGGACAGCACCAAGATGACAAATACTGAGTACCAAAGGCTACTTCCCAATTTATTGTGCTATCTTCCACCCCACTTCCTTTGCACAAACTGTCCCTCATACCTCAAATGTACTCTCTCCTCACCTCCACTTCCAGCAAGGCAATTCCTCATTTCCACCAATCTCTCTAGGACAGTTACCATTGACCATTTCTGTATCACGAATCCCTTTGACAGTTCGGTAAAGCCGACAGACCTTTTCTCAGAATAATGTTACCATCTTCATTCATAGTTGAAGGAAATTCTATATTGCAGTTAGAGGTTAGTAAGAGCAGATGCAATTTTTCTCATCCAAATTCACAGACCCTGAAATCTATCCATGGACTCTGGGGTTCCATGGACTCCAGGTTAAGAATCTGGAATTCACCATCTACAGACACTAAGTGATTTACTAAGTAAAAACACAAAATAATCTTAGATGGGAGAGTCTGTCCTTTAGATGTAGAGAATCAAGAAGGTTTCAAGGCACAGCTGGGGCACCACTTCTGTCATGGAATCTGACTACAATGAATCCCTCAGGATGACATAAGCACCTTGTAGGCATTTTTGTCTCTGCAAACCTGGTATCTTTCACAACACTTTGCACATAGCAATGGCTCATTAAAGATTTCTTGGATTGAATTGAATGCAATGGAGAGGTTTGGGTTCTGGAAACAGAAAGACTCTCTGACTCATTAGCGTTGGCCTCCCTTGCAATGGGGTCCCTTTAGCAATACCAAGCTCCAGTCCGGCCCACTGAAGGTCTGCCACTGGAGTCCAGGCAACCACTGCTGGGCCCAATATGGTGAAGAGTAATTCTTGCAAAGGTAAGCAGGTGCATGTTGAACTCAACAGTGTCAGAGCTCCCTTCTGACTCTGAGGTCCTAGAAAGTTACTAAGCCATCAGTGAAGGAAGGCTGGAGGGCCACAGGCCATATAAGGGGGCAGCCCTACCTCAAACACCCCACAGTCTCCTAGGGCTTACACCAGGGGCCCCCAAGAAGCCTTTCATAGATACCTCTTTGGATCCAGAGGAACCACCAGCCTGGATTCATTAGCTGCCTAACATTACAAGTCTGTGATTGTTTAATTTCCGTTTTAACTGCTGCCTCTACCCATAATGAGCACTCATAACTATGTTTTATATAAAGCACATTATGCCTCTGCACAGCGCCCATAAATGGCCGGTGATTATTAGCTGTGTTAAGAAGTCAGCAGTGCCCCCATCACTAGGGCTACTTCCCATCTATGGAAAGAAAGCAAAGTCAGGCAGAGGGGTAATAGATGGCTACCAGAACTGAGGGCCGAAAGGGCCATCGAGGAAACACCCTTAAAGTTAGTACAGTCAGCCTGGTGGGGTGATGGACACACAATTGTTGCTAGAGTTCTGAGTTACAGCAGGTTAAACTCTGGAGTTCCCTACTAATATAGTGATCCCCTGATGTGGAGGGAGAGAAAACAAGGAACTAGGAGGGCTGAAATGGCCCAGGTCAAAAACATGGCAGGTTAAAGTTCTCCAGCCAATCGATAATGGGATCAGTCTAGCGGCAGTGGTCACTGCTTTTCCTGCCTAGGTGAAATAGGCACACCCAGTTTCAAAAAAAAATAAGAAAAAAAAAGAGGGAGGGAGGGAAGGAGAGAAGGAAGGAAGGAGGGAGGGAAGGAAGGAAGGAAGGAAGGAAGGAAGGAAGGAAGGAAGGAAGGAAGGAAGGAAGGAAGGAAGGAAGGAAGGAAGGAAGGAAGGAAGGAAGGAAGGAGGGAAGGAAGGAGGGAAGGAAGGAGGGAAGGAGGGAAGGAAGGAGGGAAGGAAGGAGGGAAGGAGGGAAGGAAGGAAGGAGGGAAGGAAGGAGGGAAGGAAGGAGGGAAGGAAGGAAGGAAGGAAGGAAAGGAAGGAAGGAAGGAAGGAAGGAAGGAAGGAAGGAAGGAAGGAAGGAAGGAAGGAAGGAAGGAAGGAAAGAATCAGATTCTACAATGCTACAACTGAGAAGAGCTTTACAGAGTTTATAACCTGGGTCTGTGAACTTTTAATTTAATTATTATTTTCACCACTGAATTTCAATATGATTGATTTTCTTTGTAATCATATACATACATGTGTGTGTGTGTGTGTGTGTGTGTGTGTATGTTGCTTACACATTTAAAGCATTATTCTGAGATGGGGTCCTTAGGCTTCACCAGACTGACAAAGGGGTCCATGCCACAAAAAAAGGATTCCTGCTCTAGAGCAATCCTTGAGGCCCATAGAGAGGAAGGGACTTATCCAAGGTCATATAGCCAGTCAATGGAAGAGCCAGGACTGAAACCCAGGTCTCGTGACTCTCACCCCAGTGCTGTCTTCACTGCACAAACTTGGGGCTTGGAGATAAAATTAGGTCCAGGAGAGAATTGTTTCTGAAGAGACTTTAGATCTTATATGTGGTCATATTTTGTATTTATACTGGACATAAAGAAATAATTAAAATCCAGAGCTGTGTGCTTGGGCTGGGGTATGGGGCAGGGATGGCTACTGAAGAGCACCTGGGGCAGCCCCGTCACCACAACACAATTATTTGTCCCCTATAATACTAGAGGGCTGGAAGTGGGGTTGAGAGAAGCAATGCTTCATTTGGACCTTCTGTTATTGGATTCTAGGATTTTGAGCTGGAGGAGTCCTTAGAAGATTATCTAGTCCAAGGGGACTTAACTTTTTTTGTTCCTTTGACCAGGCTGGGGAAGCCTATGGACCCCTTCTCAGAATCACAGAATTAAATCCATAAAATAACATACATAAGATTACAAAGGAAATCAGTGATATTGAAGTACAGCATGAAAACAAGCTCGTGGTGTCCAGGTTTAGAGCACCTGATCTTGTCCAACCCCTTTATTTTATTTTTGTTGTTGTCATTCAGTTGTTTGTCATGTCCCACTCTTCATGACCCCATTTGGGGTTTTCTTGGCAAAGATACTGGAGTGGTTTGCCATCTCCTTCTCCAGCTCATTTTACAGATGAAGAAACTGAGGCAAACAGGGTTAAATGACTTGTCCAGGGTCACACAGCTGTTAAGTGTCTGAGGCCAGACTTGAACTCAGGAAAAGGACGCTTCCTGAGTCCAGGCCTGGCATTCTACCCACCGTACCACCCAGGGAAGTTAAGTGATTTGCCCCACCTGACTGGCACAGCCAGGATTTGGTCCCAGGTTCTCTGACTCAGTATACATCGCTTTTGCCACTATAGGCTTCCTGTGGCATCATACAGAAGGGGACAGAGAAGATGGTGATGGACCACAGTGGGACCAAAGTGGGGAAAAATATTGCCTGATGCTCCAGGCCAGGAAGAAGGATAAAGTAGATAGACCAGAAAGAAACAAGAGAGTCAGGAGTGAGTATGGGCAGTAAAAGGGATTCTGGGGTGTGCGCCCCAGCTTTATACATGATATCATAGATTTAGAGTCAAGAAGACCCTTAGACGTCATCCAACCCAACTCCCTTGTTTTACCGATAAGAAAATTGAGACCCAGTAACATTAAGTGACCACAATTTCTCCTCTGGTCCCTAGCTGGAGAAAAGAAAAGCAGGGATTATTATCCCCATGTAGCAACTGGACATCTTTTAGGGCATCTGAGGAGCTCTTTCCCATGATGTTCTCTGTAGACAAGGGTCCAAGTGCATTAAAGCTGAGAGCAGAGTCTTGTAGGGGAAAGAGAGCCATGTAAAAGGGCAGAGCTTCTGAAGTTTTCATAGTGATTGAGAACTTGGACCTGGGTAAGCGAAAGGAGCATGCTGCCAGCTAGGTAACAAAAAATTCCTGACAGGAGCTGGGATGATCTGACAGTGCCTTGAAGAGTGTGGGGGAGTTACTCAACTAAGAGCTGAGAGATGGGAAGCTGAGATAGGGTGTACACTGAGTCAGTAAACACTGGGACAATAGAGTGAGCAGACACTCCAAAGAGAAGCAGGCACTGTCCTTCAAAGAGGTCCTCAATTCCCCTTCTGTACACCTACTGGTGTGAGGATTTTCAGGGACTGTGAGTAGCCCTCTGGAAGAGAAAGAAAAAGGAAGAGGCACATTTTTTGCTTTTATTTTAATTTGCATTTATGATAATAAAACCTTTTCTATGTTCCATGCTTTGTTAGCCTAAAATACTTGCAGGCGAATGGAAGTGCCCAAGGGAAAGCTAGCAATGAGAGTAGTTCAGACGTTGCCATATTGCCAGAAGAATTTCTGGATAGGGTCATGAATCAAAGAATATTATCATGGAGAAGACTTCAAGATGGAACCATGTGAGCCCAGAACTTCAGTAATGGGACATGGGTTGTATCTATTTTGTAGAATGAGGAAGGTGATGCCCAGAGAGAAGAAATTATTTGACTGAAGTCACAAGCAATAATATTATGACTCAAACCCAGGTCATAGGATCATGAATTTTGAGATAGAAGGGACACTAGAAGCTATTAAGGGAGTCTATACCATTCCCACTCCTCTGCCCATTCAGCAGATAAGAAAAATGAGATTAAGTGAATTGTCCACACAAGTAGTAAATGTCTGAGGTAGGGTTTGGACCCAAGTCCTCCTGACTGGTTCCATCATCCTATCCACTATAACATGTTGCCCTTAGGTTGTTCAAGTCTTAAGACAATGTGCCTTCAATTATATCACGTTAGCTTTCAGTGATTAGGGCTATAATTCTTTTTTTTTTAAATCAAAATTTTTTTTGTTTGTTTCTTTTTTCACATTTTTTTATTTTTTCCTACTTAATAGTATTTTATTTTTCCATTTACATGTAAAGAGAGTTTTCAACATTCACTTTTACAATATTTTGAGCTCTAAATTTTTTTCTCCTTCCCTTCCTCCTCTTCTCTTTCACCAAGTTGGCAAGCAATCTGATCTAGGCTATACATGTACATTATTAAATATTATTATTTTTATTATTAATATAATTAATTAAATATATAATAATTAATATTATTAAATATTAAATATATTTCCACATTAGTTATGTTATGAAAGAAGAATCGGAACAAAAGGGAAAAACATGAGAAAAAAAGAGAAAATAGTATGCTTTGGTCTGCATTCGGACTCCATATTTCTTTCTCTGGATGGATAGCATTTTCCATCATGAGTCTTTTGGAATTGTCTTAGATCATTTAGGGCTATAACTCTTGCCTAGAGTAAGAGACATCCCAGGTTGAAAATGATGATGCACTCTGGATCCTTTGAAACAGTGCAGTGGGAAGAGCCTTCAGCTGGATGTCAGGAGCTATGGACAGTGATTCATGACTCTGACTTCCTGCATGATCATGGACAAATCACCACCCCTCACCAGGTCTCAGTTTCCTCATCTATTGGGATTTAGACTAAATGGCCTATAAAAGGTAATGCCAGCTCTAAAATCTACCTAAAGTCAAATGTGAATTTCTTTTGTAATAAATTCTGCTTCGAGATCATCAACTTTGAGATTATTATTTGTTTCTGACAAAGTACTGGAAATGGAAATGAGAGAGCTCATTTCTCCTTCCCTCCTTCTGACATTCTATTGTTCTGTGTGCTACGTTCCCTTGCAGCTCTCACATTCAATGATCTAAGGTTCTTTGAAGCTCAGCCATTCTCTTTCCTTACTAACTCTAATAGTCTATGTTCTAAAACCCCATCTTAGCTTTCACATTCTTCTGTGTGCCATAATCTTTTCAAAATCTGCCATGCTCCCTTCTAAAGTATCTCCCAGCCTGGAAGGTCTACATCAGGGCTTCCCCTTACTCCTTGGCCTTCAATAAACCTTACCACACACCTTATTCAAAAATGAAAGGAAAGAAGTATTGAGTTTACCATGCATTTGTACATAAAGAAAAATAAGGAGATTAATTAATTTCAGTTTGATAGCAGACCCCTTGACAAGCTTCTCTTGGGTTGGGGTGGGGAGTGAACAGGGGCCTATACCCTAGTTCTCCATGTTCTAAGACCCCCTTTCTTGTCTGATATTCAAGACTCTCAGTCTTATATATTTGCTATTATATACCACTCTTAAGGAAGAATAACTTTCAGGACAAGTGATCCCTTAGGGCATAAATCCCAATGATTCCCAGATAGGTGGGTTCCTGAGTCTTGTCAAGTCAGGCTTTTATGGCTGGTGGGAGGCAGCAGGGAAAGAAACGCAGAAGTCTTCTTCTGTCTGTCCCCTTAGTCCAGCCTGGCAGTATTCATCAGAACCAGGGCTGCTGGCTGGGAGATGGCTCCAGTACCCATGCAGGCAGTCACTGAATTAACTACTGGGAGAGAAACAGTGATTCTTGGCTGGTAGGCTGGCGCCACCCAGTGGTCATAAACCAAATAACAAATGGTGAAAGAAATAGCTCTGCACACTGGAAAGGATCCTGGAAAATTGGAGGGACTTTAGATTCTGACAATTACTAGTTATATGAACTTAGGCAATTCACTTCTCTCTGCCTCAGATTCTTTCTTTTTAAAATGAGGATACTTGAACTACCTTCCCCACGGGGCTGGGGTGAAGGAAAAGTTTTTTAATTAACCTTAAGTCTTGGTGGAAATGTGATCTCCTATTATTTTTAGAGCAGGAAAGGACTGGTCCAATCCCTTACAATTACAGAGGAGGCATCTAGCACCCAGAGAGGGAAGGACCATGCTGAAGGCCACACAGCCTGTCAATATAGAACCATCAAGGTACCGAGGAAAGGATGCAGATCTGCAGTCAAGCAGATGTGGGCTTAGGATGTATCCCCACTCCACCAGTTACTAACTGTGTGATATTAAGCAAGTCATTTAATCTCCCTGTGCCTCAGTTTCCTCTTATAAAATGAAGAGACTGGGCTAAATTACCTATAAGGTCTTTTGTATGTCTAATTTTATGATCCTAAGTGATAAGATGGAAACTCAACCCTCCAGTTCTAAGTCCTGTGTTCTTTAGACCACTTCACATGAGGTTCCTCACACTTGACCTATCTATAAATATGGACACTCCTCATGGAATGGAAAAGCACATTTAATGTCCCTAAAGATCATTCATTTTTGTGGGGGATAGGCATAGCAGGTTCCCTCTCTTGCCCAGCCTGGAAGCTCAAAGGCCACTCACAAGCCTACCCTATGCTGACTGGTAATGGAAGTTTTGACTTACCCCATTTTTAACCAGAGCAGTTTTGCCTCTCCTTAGGCAGCCTGGTGGATTCCAGTCTCAGGGGCTCAGCATCATGGCGCCATATTTAATGTAGATGCCCAATCAGCTCTAGCCCTATTGAAGCCCAGAACTCCTAAACCCCAGCAATCCACCAGTCTCTGCTGCCCCAATAGCAAGGACTACAAGTGTGCAATACCACACCCAACCCCTTCATATTATTCTGAGCTGCAATACAAATACATATATCAATGAATATGTGACCTGGAACACAAATGTGGGTGTACATGTCTAGAAGAACATACTTATCTAACATAATGTAGAGGAAAGAGAACTATATATCTGTGTATATGTGACCTGGAACATAAATGTGGGTGTATGTGTCTAGATGAACATACTTACCTACCATAGGGTAGGAGAAAGAGAACTAACTGGTCTTAAGAGTTCAATGTTAAGGCTGTAGTCTCAGCCTTGACATTTTCTAGTCCTGTGGTCTTGAGTAAGTCTCATTTCTGAAACTCAGTTTTCTCATCTGTAAAATAGGGATAATGAGCCTGTCTCTCTGTCCCATAGGAAAGTGTTGTCTCCCTCCCTATCCACTGCCCTGGGGAGACACCTGGAGTATTATGTTCAGTTCTGAATAGCACATTTAAGGAAGAACATGAACAGGCTGAAGAATTTCCACAAAAACACAACTAATTCAGGAAAGAGACTGGGAATTATGACCTATGAGGATTGGTTGAGGAAAATAAGGATGTTCAGCCTAGAGAAGAAAAGACATGATTCCTGTCTTCAAGGATTTGAAGGTGATCAACTGAAAGAGGTTAATTGAGGGTTTATTCTTCTTTGTCCTTAATCAGTTAATCAATTACCAATTATTTATTAAGTACTTACTATGTGCCGATACCAGTGTTAAGTACCAAGGATGCAGCAAAACACAGCCCCTGCCTTCGGGGGCTTTGACTCAAGGACTGAACAAGGACCAGTGGATGGAAATCGCAAGAAGGCATGCTTCAGCTCAATGCTAGGGTGAATTTTATAAAAACAGAATTGTCCAACAATCAAACAGATAACCTCAGGTAAGCAGTGAGCTTTCTGCCAGTGGTACTGTTTCAGCTAAGGCTGGATGCCTGTTTTGTCTATGATGCTGGACAGAACTTTTCTGTACTGATGAGGCTGACTCCTAAGTCCTTTTCCAGCTCTGGGAGTTTTAGTTTTAATACCTACGTGAGTATATAATGTCAAATTGTTTTCCTTCTCAATTGGGGGGGGCAGGGGAAGGGGAGGGAAGGAGAGAATTTGGAACTCGAAATTTGAAAAAAGAATGCTAAAATTGTTTTTACATGTAATTGGAAAAAATAAAATATTAATTTTTTTAAAAGACCAATGTGAGGATTAAATGAAATGAATGGGAAAGCACTTAGTAAGCTATAAAAGGTAGAGCACAATACATATATATATATATATATATATGTATTGTGCGTATGTGTGTGTGTGTGTGTGTGTGTGTGTGTGTGTGTGCATGGTAATTTTGTTGTTAAGTTATTTCAGTCCCATCTTATTCTTCATGACCCCATTTGGGGTTTTCTTGGCAGAGATACTGGAGTAGTTTGCCATATCTTTCTCCAACCTATTTTACAGATGAGGAAACTGAAGTAAACACGGTTAATGACTCGCTTATGGTCACAAAGCTAATAAGTGTCTGAGTCCAGATTTGAACTCAAGTCTTCCTGACTCCAGGCCTGGCGCTCTATCTACTGCACCACCTAACTGCCCCAATAGGGTAACCAGTACCCTGCTACTGTCCCAGGATGGACCAGTCTACATTCTAGGCTGCTTCCACAAAAGGAGACACAGAGCGTCTTCCTTGTGAGTCTTGTACCAGGCCAGGTAAGCTTTAGCTACTTCTGTCTGCCTCAATCCCAGATGCCAAACAGTTTCTAATTCCTGGCATAGAATCCATCTTGAGTTACTTTAAATCTCTGACTGAGTCTTCAGATTGCTTATTACAATCCCATCTAATCTTTGGTCCCTGATCTCCACCCTAGACCCAAGGCCTTGGCCCTGAGGTTATTTTTTTCTTTTCTTTTTTCTCTTTTCCTTGATGATATGTTTTATGGATGCTTTTTGTCCATGATGCCATAGTCATTTCTAAAAATGTCCTATTAAGCCCTCCCATCATAACAAAGAAAAATAACTAAGTAAAAGCACCCAGCAGTGACCTACTTATCTATCTATATATCTATCTATATACCTAACAGTATACACAGCATTCTGCCCTTTTCCCTTCTCCCATGAGGGAGATACACAAGGGTGTTGCTAGTAAATATTTAACAACTGGATCTCCATAAAAATATATATACTTTTAAGTTTAGTCTGCTTTATTAAAATTTTCTGCATAATTTTCTTAAGTCTAGACAATAAACAAAGCAATAAATCAAGCCCTGATTTGTAGTGTTTAATACTTTCCAAAGAATAAATACTCATATTAAAAATTTAACAATCAGCTCTCACAAATTGGTTTTAACACATCCCTGAAGATATGTTTTATTATTTCTTTTGGATCATTGCTGGTTTTTTTTTAATTACATAAAGTCTGATTTCTTTTTAGTACACTGTTGCAATCATATATAACATTATTTTTTTCCTACTCACTTCACTCTGCAATGGTTCGTACAAATCTTCCTATGTTTCTCTGAATTCCACATTTGTCATTTCTTATTGCATAATAATTTCTCATTACATCCATACATCACAGAGTGTTTTTTCCCACCCATTTCCCAATTTATGGGCATCCATTTTGTTTCCAGTTCTTTTTTATCACAAAGAGTACTATTATGAATATTTGAGTTTACTTCATACCTTTGATTTTTGCCTTTGACTTCTTCACAGTATGTGCCCAGCAGTGAGAGAATTGGGTCAAAGATTGTGGATAGTATAAGATACTTTTCTAGTATATAGTGGAGTCATATCTTACTCGAGGAATCAAGTTCTAAAGTCAGCATATAAAGCAAAATTCTCACATGGTCAAAAAGTACCTTCTCTGTAAAGCATATCTCCAAGGTAAAAAGCCCCTGGCATGTTAGAATAATGTAGGTAACAGAAATTGGCAAGCCAGCAGTCTTCAGGTGGGATTGGGTCTTAGGGCAGGGTTGGTGAAATTAGCTGTGAAGGGGCTGGGGATGAGTGGTAACTGAATGAGGACAAGCCCCTCACAACCGCTGCCTCTCTCCTCCAGAATGATTTTTCCTCAAATTCCACCCTCCTCTCCTCTCCTACAAAGAGAAGGTGTAATTGGAGCTTCTGGGTCGTCTGGAGATGGGAATATTACTTTGGGGCAAGGGAGAAATTCTTACCTCCCATCTCACAAGAACATACATTCATTAGGTAGAATGACAGGTAGCATCTGGAGCACTGCTTAAATTATTTTTCTCTTTTTTTTAATAGCACATTATTGAATTTATGTAACTTAAACAAGCATATGTTATTCTTCCTTTTTAATTCCAAATTAATATCAAGAATAGTTGGCAAATGAATTCACAGCTCTACCAACCACGTATTAATTTACCCATCTGCCCACAGTCCCTCCAAAATACATCAGTCCTATTTTAAGTCATCTTTTACTCTTTGCAGGGTGTGAGGTGAAATCTCAGTTGTTGTAATTTGCATTTTTCCTACTATTTGTGATTTGCAGTGTGTTTTCATAAGGTCATTTATAGCTTGCAATTTTTCTTTTGAAAACCGTTCATATCTTTTGACAACTTATCTATCGGGGAATGATTCTTTGTGCTATATATTTGTATTAATTCCCTATATATCTTAGACATCAGACTTTTATGAGAGCTATTTGATACAAATATTTCCCTGACTCTACACTTTCTCTTCTTGTTCTCTCTTCATTAATTTTCTTCATGCAAAAAGTGTTATATGTAATTGAGTAGCCTACTTTGTCTTTTATGAACTCCTTTATCCCTTGTTTATTTAAAAATTCTCTCCCAAGCCTTACTTGTGAAAGATACCTTCTCCTGTTCTCCCTCGACTTTTTTTTTTAATGTTGTAACCTAAAATATTCAGGTTGCATGTTTATTATGAGCTTATTTTCGTACATGGTATAAGATGTTGGTCTAAACCTAATTTCTGCCAAAGTGCTTTACAGTTTTCCTGGTAATCCTTACCAAATAGGAAACATTTTTCCCAGTATTTTCTAGTGTTGATAGAGTAATTTCCTCTCAGTTCTTAAATTTAGCAAATATTTGGAAACAATTTTTATTGCCTCTGAGTTTTTTGGTTTTGCTTTGTCTGTTCTATTAATCCACTCTTCAGTTTTTTTACCTAGTACCAAATAAATGCTATGACTGCTACATTTCACACAGAGGTCTTTTAATGCTAGGCACCATTGATTTAGAATTCTGTTCATAATTTCCCTTTACCTTCTAGACCTTTGATTCCTTCAAATTAATTTGATTACTTTGCCTAGTTCTACAAAATATTCCCTAGGTAAATTTATTAGTGTAGAAATACATCTGTAAGTTAAATTAGATAGTACATCATGTTTTATTATATTAGCATGGCCCAACCATACGCAGAATGCATTGTGATTATATTAATGTCTTATATGTTTTCTAAAAGGTTAACTACCAGATATTTTATGCATTTTGTAGTTACTTTGCATTGAATTTTCCAATCACTCTCCATAGCTTTTATTAATACTAAATTGAAATGCTGATTTTTTTTTGTGGATGTGTATTTTGTAGCCTGTTACTTTACTGAAATTGATGATAATGATGATGATGATGATGATGATGATGATGATGATGATGTGATTGCGATACTAGCCAACATCATTACTATAGCTATTTATGGTTTACAAAGCACTTTACAATATGCTATTTCATTTGATCTTCATAATAACCCTATGAAATAGGTGCTATTGTTTTAAAAACAAATGTTAAAATTATTTTTTACATTTAACTGGGGGAAAATTAAATACTAAATAAATACCAAAAAAAGAAAAAAAACAGTTGAAACCTGAAAAAAAGAAATAGGTGGTATTATTGTCACCATTTTACAGCTAAGAAAACTGAGGCTGACAGGTTAGCTGATTTGTCCATTAAATGCCCAATAAGTGTCTAAGGCAGGATTTGAATTGTTATTCCCGATTCCAGGTCCAGTATTTTTTCTACTGTGCCACCTAGTGTCCATTGGTTTCTTCTTGATTACTTTCTTGGCTTGTTATTTGGGGGTTTCTAGCTATGCCATCGCATCATCTACAAATTGGAATAATTGTTAACAAAGTTTATACCTTTAATTTTGTTCCCTTATCATATTGTTAAGCCTAGCCTTTCTAGAACTATGTCAAATAATAATAGAGAACGAGGATATCTTTGCTCTGCCCCTGTTTGAATTGGGAAAACTTTTGATATTTTTCCTTGGCAAATAATGCTAACTCTTGTGCTAGGTACATGCTTTTGATCATATTAAGGAAGGGCCCTTCCTTACCTGTTAACAGGGTTAACACAAATGAATGCTATACTTTGTCAAGTTTTTTCTGTCTCTATCGAGATTGTGTGCTTTTGTTCTTTGTTGCTTATATGATTAATTACATTAATTGCTTTCCCAATGTTAAAACATTTTTGGATCAGTAGTAGTATGAATCTGCCTTAGTCAAAATAAAGGGTTTTTTTCCATTTTTACTGCTACAGTCTCCTTGCAAGGATTTTATTTTTTAAAATTAATCAATTTATTTTTGGTTTTCAACATTCACTTCCATAAGATTTTGAGTTTTAAATTTTCTCCCCTCCTTCTCTTCCCCCCACCCCAAGATGGCATACCATCTGATATATAGGCTCTACTTATACATTCATATTAAATATATTTCCCATTAGTTATGATGTAAAGAACAATTAGAACTTATGGGAAGAACCATGAGAAAAAGAAAGAAAACAAAACAACAAAAGGAGAGTAAACAGTGCACTTCCATCTACATTCAGACTCTAAAGTTCTTTCTCTGAACATAGACAGCATTTTTCACCATCAGTCTTTTGGGCAAGAATTTTGTTTTAATTCAACTTTGAATGTTTGATGAAATTCACTTTTAATCCATCTGGCCCTATAATTTTGTTTGTTTTTCCCTTTTGAAATTCATCTGTGGTTTGTTTGATCTTTTATCATTAATTTGGGATAAGGTTCTTATGTTTTGTTTTATTAGTTTGAGTGTTTTATATTTGAGTAGGTACATCAATTTCTTCTGAATTGTCAGTTTTATTGGTGTATAGAAATATGTGATAAAAAAATTTCCTCTCTGCTATAAATTCACCTTGTTCATTTTTTTATTTTGGTAATTTTATTTTCTAATCTCCTTTTTTGTGATTGGATTGGAGTTTTTTTTTTAATTTTTGCTTGCCTTTTCAAAAAAAAAACCTAAGTTTTCTTTCAGTGCTTTATTTGGGTTGTCAATTTGACAATTAAATCTTGTGTGGCCTGACATTCAAGACTCTCAATCTATTTAACTACACGCTCAATTAGAGATCTTTTTTTGTAGTCATAATAGAAATTTTGCATAGATAGGTAGACAGACATATATATATATATATATATATATATATATACAGACATATATATATATATATATATACATATATATACAGTTATATGATATATAAACTTTGG